CCACCCATCCATCCATGCATCCACGCATCCATCCATCCATCCATCCACCCACCCATCCACCCATCCATCCATCCATCCATCCATTCATCCATCCATCCATCCACCCATCCATCCATCCATCCATCCACCCATCCATCCATGCATCCACGCATCCATCCATCCATCCATCCATCCATCCATCCATCCATCCAACCAACCATCTGTTCATCCATCCATCTGTTCATCTATACATCCACCCACCCATCCATCCATCCATCCATCCATCCACCCATCCATCCATGCACCCATTCATTCACTCATTCATTCATCCCACAAACATTTCCTGAGCATCTACAGTGTGTCAGGCACTCTTCTGAGCTGTGAAGAGACAGCCATGAACTAGACAGAAAAAAATCTCTGTCCTCAAGGAGCTGACAGTCTACTGAGCAAGAGGCTTACCATAAGCAATCAGTGCATGAACAAGGAAATCCCCCAGAGAGCGTTAGGTGTCTTCAGAGAACTGAAATAGAGCCTGGGGAGAGTGGAGGGTGACCAGACTTGAGCGGGGCTGGGGAAGGCCTCTTGGAGGAGGGGACAATTGAGCAGAAGCCTGAGTGCTAGAAGGAAGTGGGCAGTGGCCCTGCGGTGGATGGTGGGAAAGTTAAAAAACAGTTAAGCTGTGAAAAGCCACAACCGCTTGCTGGCCTGTTAGAGAACAGCACGGGGCCCATCGCTACTGGAAAGGAGTTGTGGGGTGGAGGAGGACAGAGAGGCAGGAAGGGGTCAGGTCCCCAGGCCCTGTGGAGAGGACATTGGCTCTAATTCTTGGAGTCCTGGGGTTTCAGGGGCTTCTGAGAGGTGAGCGAGGGGATCTGACTCAGGTTACAGACACCCAATCTTGCTGACTTCATCAAAACCCCATGGGGACCCACCAAGTTTGTCCCCATTCTCCGCATAGAGACACTGACGGTGGGAGAGGTCCCCAGTGGCCTCAGCAAGGTGCCAGCATCCTTCTGAAGGACAGTGATGCCCCCCAGAGGTGGGTTTCTCAGTTGGAGAATAGTAGCATGAGGAGCATTCCCAGCTAGGGGAGCACCATATGCAAATCACGCCCACAGTGATATTGACCAGAGACACAGCCCCATTCACCCAGTGCCCACAGCAGCCCCGCATGGCAGGGACTGGCATCACAGAGGGAGTGGAGGATGGAGCCAGGGGCCTGGGTTCCAGTCCTAACTCTGTCACCTTTGAGCCGGGTGACCTTCAACTCTTTGAGCCTCAGTGTACCCCTCTGTATAAGGGTCATAACAGTACCTACTTCATTGGGTTGTCACAACAATTACACAAATATGCTAAAAAGCAGTACCGGGCATAGAGCACATATGGGACAGTCGCTGTGCTGGGAGACCCAGGGCTGCCTCTTCCGCAGCATGTTTTGAAGAATGAAGGAGGGGGAGACGACTGACAGGGTTTGGGGAGAAGAGGAAAGGGTAGGCCAGGCGGGGGGCACAGCCTGGGTAAAGGTGCGGCCATCCTGCCAGAGGTGCCCCATCAGCCTGCCATCTGGCTGTGTCCCCCTCATTGTCCTCACGGAGCCAGCTGAGTGCTTCCTAATGTTTCCATTTGCTTTTGGCTGCAGGTTGGGATCTGTTTTTAGCTTCCCCAGCTGGTGTCACCGCCACCCGCCTCCCACTGGCTCTCTTGTTTGCTGTGGTCGAATAATGTCCCCGGACTTCCTGAGCTGTTTGTTTGAAGGCTGCCCGGTATCGATTGAACCTTGTGTGTACTCAGCCTGGCTTGCTCACAGAGCTCTGCCCCTCCCCAGCAAGCCAGGGGCTCAGAAAATGCTAGAGTGGGGGGTGGGGGGAGAAGAAAGCAGGGCCAGGGCTCACTTAGAAAATAAGCAGATCATTTTGGGGTCTTTAAGGCCCCTCCCAACACGGGCTTCTCCTCTTTCAGGCTGTGTGGGTGTGGGTAGGTACAGTCACCTTTCTGAGCTTCGTTCCTCTGGAAAATGAGGAGAGAAACATTTTCAACATCACGGGACTGTTAGGAAGGCTCAGTTCAATTTATTCATTCAATGTCTATTTCTTGCGCACCTACTATGTGTCAGGCACTGTTCTAGACTCTGGAGATATAACAGAGAATAAGGCAAAGTCCTAACCTTCAGGAGGGTCACAACCTCCTGAGGGTGATAGAAAACAAAGAAGATTGTACACACTGCCAGGTGGTGACAAGGACTAGGAAAATGCAGCGGGGCAGGGCCTTGAAGGCAGGAGGCTCTTTTCAATGGGGTGGTCAGGGAAGGCCTCCCGGAGGAGAGGATGAGACAGCGAGTCTGGAGAAAGGAGATCCAGGCTGAGGGAACAGCTCATGCAAAGGCCGTGGGGTAGGACACGCCTGGGATGCTGGCGGGAGAGGCAGAAAGTCAGTGAGGGGGAATGAGTTAAGGAAGAGAACAAGAGAAGAGGCCACAGAGGTAGTGGATGCCAGATTGCACACCTCGTAAGTGGGTGCAGATGATGAGTGCAGGGCCTGGACCCCCTGAGCGCCCAGCCAGACTAGGGACTCCGGGGCTGAATGAGACCTGAGCCGCCCACCTCAAACCAGCCCCTCACTCACCACCTTCGGCTGGCCTTCATCTCTGGGTCTCCTGGGGGACAGATCTAGCCGAGGGGGCAGCGGGGGAGCTAAGGAGGCCACCTAAGGGAGACAGGGGGTGGGGTAGGGGGCTGTGAGCTGCCGTTTTCTTCTCACCTACTGTCCTCCTGCCTGGAGGCCTAGCATTCAGGCACTGTTCTAGACCCTGGAGATGTGATGGAGAATAAGACAAGTCCCAGCCCTCAGGAGGTTCCACCTGGAGAAAGGCATCCCCCAGACCCTTGGGGAGACAGAAGTGCAGGCCCCCAGGACCCCAGAATCCCGTCACCAGCCCCTCCTCCCTCAGACTCAAGAGTCCAGGCTCCCAACCCCTCCTCCCTCAGACCCAGGAGTCCATCCCCCGGCCCCTCTTCCCTCAGACCCAGGGGTCCCGGCCTCCAGCCCCTCCTCCCTCAGGCCCAGGAATTCCAGGTCCAGCTCCTGCCTGGCCCTGCTTACCTGTTCCAGCTCCTCCTCCCCATCTTCCTGGTCACTGCCGTCCCTCGGGTCCTCAGCAGCGGCCCTGGCTTCCTCCGGCTTCCCTGGGAATTGGTGGATGCTCACAGCCTCCCGGCCCTTGATCTCGCTGCGGCAGAAGGGGCAAGTCTGGCTGTCCGAGTGCTGGGGGAGGTGGGAAGGGAAGGTCAGGGTTTCCCTGTTCTCTACCATGTCCCCTGGGACTACAAGTGATCACAACAGAGTGATCCCCAACAGACAGACAGAGGGAGGGAAATGGAGGGAGAGAGAAGAGGAGTCATGAAGAGAGGGAGATGGGGAGAGAGATGTTGAATGGGAAGCGGGGGTGGACCAGCACCGAGGCCAGGAGGGGCGCACAAATGGGAAGCCCAGGGGAGCCGGGTGTCATGGGGGTCTCAGGCTATCCATAGTGATGCCATGGGCTAGGAACGCCTGAGGCACCCACCTGGGCCCATGTTACTTGTGGCGAGTCTCCCAGACATTCCTCTCCCACCAGGGCCAATGTCGTGGCTGGACCGGTGGATGGATAGATGGATGGACAGATGGTTGGATGGATGGATGGATGAACAGATGGTTGGATGGATGGATGAATGAGTGGATGAATGGGTGGATAGATGGGTGCATGGATGGATGGATGGATGTGTGGATGGATGGGTGGATGGATGGATGGACGGATGGACGGATGGAAGGATGGATGGATGGATGAATGGGCGGATGGATGGGCGGATGGATGGGCGGGTGGATGAGCGGGTGGATGGGCGGGTGGATGGACGGATGGGTGGATGGGTGGATGGATGAATGGGTGGATGAATGGGTGGATGGATGGGTGGATGGATGGGTGGGTGGATGGGTGGGTGGATGGGTGTGGAAGGGTGGATGGATGGGTGGATCGATGGGTGGGTAGGTGGACCAGTTGTTATGACTGCAGGACGCACTGGAGCAAAACCATCAGGGAACTTTGAGGAACAAGATTATTACTCCCGGGTCCTGGAGGGTACATGGCCCGCCTGCCTGGGTCACACAGTGGGGTCTCAGGTAGAGAGCGGGAGGGAAAGCGGACATGGGGCTCTGCCTTTATCAGGGGCCGAGTAGGGTGCTTAGGGTTTTGTGGGTTCACTCTTTATTGGGGGGGAATTTAAAACATAAGAGTGAGAATTAGGGTTCAGGAAGGGAAAAGTGGGTCACTGAAGAGGTCCGTTATCTAGGTCACCCAGGGGGAACTTCACGGGTGTGGGTGGCCTGGTTCCTTATCTGCGTGTTTCGCTAGGAGCCCTGTCAGACAGCTGGCAATATGTTTATTCAAGATGGACATCTTTGAAATCGATGCCTCGCCAATCAAAAACTCAATGTCAAACATTTACTTTACAATTAAACACCTCCATGTCAGGCATCCACACTACACGGGGCAGCAGCCCCCTTTCCCAGGGGCCTTTGCTGAGGGCTTCATGGGCGTGGAGCCTCACTACGCCCTTGGGAGGTTGTCACCATCAGCACCATTCTCCAAGAAGGCGGTGAAGGCTCAGAGAGGTGAAGCCACTGACCCCAGATGGCCCAGCGAGGGGAGGAAGGAGCGCTTGCCACTCGTATGTAGCTGAAGAAGGAGAAGCAGAGGTGACAGATGCAGAGCGAGATGGAGACAGAGGCACAGACACCGGCAGGCGAGCTCCTGGCCCTCACTCTTGAGTGACCCCGAGCAAGTCTCTACTCTCTCTGGGCCTCAGTTTCCCCATCTGATCGATGAGGCATATGGGAGCTCCTTTTGGGCTTTCACTGTCGAGAGAGGGAGCACCGGGCAGGAAGGCAGGGCCAGGTCAGACCCACCTGCCAGGCGGCCAGGCAGCGGCTACATAGCAGATGCCCACATGGCTTGATCTTCACGTCTTTGTTGCTCTCGGCACAGATCTTACAGAGCTCGAACGTGGAGTCCATGGCCCAGTACAGCTGCAGCTGCTCCTGGCCGGCAAGAAGATGGGGAGGATGGGAACGGGGGGTGTCAGCCACAGGGATACCAGTCGGGCCCAGGAAGAAAGTCCCAAACCTTTGCGCCAGCCCCGAACCCTCTCCCAAGTTCAAGGCCTGTGTGTCCAGCTGCCTCCTCCACCAACCCCTTGTTGTGAGACTTGCTCTCTGGGGCGGAATAACTCACGGCTGCCAGATTTAGCCACCGGAAATACAGGATGCTGTTAAATTTGATTTTCGGATAAACAATGAATAAATTTTTAGGTATAAGTATATCCCAAAGACGGTGTGGGATATACTTACACTAAAAAAGTTTATTTGTTGAGTCTCTCTCACCCATGGGGTGGCTGTGGGGACTAACAGCTGGCATGAGGGCCGTCACTGGAGGATGTTCAAGCGCATTAGTTGTTCTGATGATCTCAGCGGTATTGTTTCCTGATTTAATCCCCACGAAAACCGCTGAGTAGGAGGCAAGAGGGGCCGTATTTTCCAGAGGAGGTACAGAGGCTCGGAGAGGACACGTGATGTACCCCAGGCCCCATGGCCACCAAGTGGGCACAGAACCCGAGGCCTCTGAAGTGGGGGGTGGGCAGTGAGCAGGGACGGGGGACACGGCTGGGCCTCACCTCCGACACTTGGATGCGCTGATGGGGTTCCATCTGGCAGAGTTCTGTTAGGTTTGGATTGTGGTTCTTCCCATCAGGGTAGAGGTAGCTGGGGGAGGGAAGAGAGGGTGCCAAGGGGCCATCCAGCACCCCCACCGCAGACTGACGAGGACCCCCCACATCGCCACGGAGCTGAGCTCCTGGGATGATCACCTGTCCCAAATCCACGTCGGGCCTGGGGATATTTTCCCTTCCTTCTCCTCCAACTGGGATTCCCCAGGACAGGGCCACATCCTCTCAGACCCAGGGCATGGCCGTGTCCCCTCAGACCCCACAGAAGGGTGCACTAAACCTAAGTGACTCCAGCTCTGGAAACACAGATCCGATGAATAAGAACCAGGAAACTGATCAAACCTCAGGCTGAGCCTCCCAGAACATCGCCGTCCTGGAGTCTTCTGGCCTGAGCACCGGGCATCTTAGAATCACAGACTGTTGGAGGGACCAAATCCTAGAGTCTTGGACTGGCAGAGCTAGAAGGACCCTCCTAGACAGTACACACTACTTCTCGCTTCACAGATGGTGACCAAGGCTCAATATGGGGAAGGCGACTGCCCAGGGCCACACAGCGAGGCCTGGAGGGACACAGAGCCAGGGCTGTGGGCAAGGTCTGAGCCCCGGGCTCCAGGGCAGCCGAGAAGGCTCTGCAAACCCCGGGTCTCCCATCCAGGTCATAATGGCACCCCCAGACCAATGGCGGGGTCACAAGTCCCTCAAGGCTGGTGGCTCTGCCTGGTCAGCCAGCTCGAGCAGCTCAGGAGCCCTGGCCTGAGCCCCAACACAGCTCTTCCACAGACACGCTGTGTGACATGGGTTGGGCAGCTCTACCTCTCTGGCCTCAATTTTCCCTTCTGTAAAATGGACATAACCGTGTCTGAGGCCAAGATCGGTGGTGAGGATTAAAGAAGACAGTGCTCATAAAATGTGCAGTAGGCGCCCTCCACACACATACGCCCAGTAAGAGGGAATGGCTGAGATCAACTTCAGACGACCTTGGTGTTCCCTCCCCTCTCTCAGGATCTTGATCCTCCCACATATAAAATGGGTGTGTGTGTGTGTGTGTGTGTGTGTGTGTGTGTGTGTCTGTGTGTCCGTGTGTAGGGCAGGTGGATTAAACCAGACTGATGGTGTTTACACTCGTGTTAACTCTGGAATCCTCTTCTCCAATGACCTCGGACCTGGAACTCAGGACATTTCAGTGGGTAAGGGTCCGTATTCTGAGCCTGGCTGCCTGGCTTCGAATTCCAGCTGGTTAGCTCAGAAGCTGTGTGACCTGAGCAGGTGTCTCCGTCTCTCTGTGCCTCAACTATCAAATATGGACAGAATAGTCCCCTCATTCAACAGATCTTCATTTTTTGTGGATTCCCTATTTGCAAATTTGCCTACTCGCTAAAATTTATCTGTAACCCAAAATCAATATTCGTGGCATTTTCTTGGTCACTCACGGATATGCACATAGAGGCAAAAAATGTGAGTCGCCCGCTGGGCACGTTCCAGCTGAGGTCGAACCAGGCGACACTTGGCTTTCTCGTTCCAGTTCCGCACTGGAAACTAGTGCCCTTTCGCAATCTACGTAGTGCCATGTTTTTCACATTCTTATGCTTTTTGTCAGTGATTTAGTTGTTTAAAATGCCCCCCAGCACAGTGCTGCAGGGCTGTCTAGTGTCCTCGGCACAAGGAGGCTGTGTGGCCTCCTGGAGAAAGTGCGTGTGCTACAGAAGCTTTGTTCAGACACGAGTCACAGCACGCCGGCCGTGAGCTCAGTGTGCACGAATCACCAATGTATATTAAATAGGCGTCTTTACACAGAAACACACGTCAAGGTTACTATGTAGTGATCGGCTGGCGAAATGTGACCAGGGGCTTGCAGGAACACCTGGCAGTGACGGCTCAGTGGTTGCTAATTCAGTGTTTACGGTGACTTTATAGGACACAGCTATCAGGAACAATGAGAATCGACTATCTATTTATCTCTCTCTCTCTCTCTCTCTCTCTCTCTATCTATCTATCATCTATCTATCTATCGATCATCTTTCTATCTACCTATCATCTATCTATTATCAGTCTATCCCTCTATCTACCTATCTTTCTATCTATCTACCTATCATCTATCTATCCATCTATCATCTACCTACCTATCTATCATCTATCTATCTATCCATCTACCTGTCTACCTATCTATCATCTATCTATCTATCTATCTATCTATCTATCTATCTATCTATCTATCTATCTATCCATCTATCGTCTATCTACCTGACTATCATCTGTCTAGCCATCTATCTACCTATCATCTATCTATCCATCATCTACCTGTCTATCATCTATCTATCAATCTATCTATCTATCTACCTACCTATCATCTATATATCCATCTATCACTTATCTACCTATTTATCATCTATCTATCTATCCATCCATCTCATTTCGTATCATATAGCTATGACTCGTAAGAAGTCTGTAATTAAAGGTCCAGGTGAGAGTGGGGACCCTCACCTGCCTTTTTTCCCCTCCGCTCCTACCCAAGGCTCCTTCTGAAAGAGGGGCCCCGGAGCAGCTGAGGTTACGGTTGGAAACACCAGTCTAGCCGTTTGCCCACTTATCTTTCTGCTTTAACGGTCTAGACTCTAGCACAGGATATGGATATCTAGAAGCAAAAGCTCTTGAGCACAGTTCCAGGGAATGGAGGCATCGGGGTTGTGCCCAGCTCTGCACACACTTCTACCTGGGGCTGCTGGCCCATGTGGCAGCTTTATGGGAACTAGAAAAGGCGACACCCTCCCACCCCCGACCCTTGTCTGCCAGCTGCTGGAACACTGTGGTATTGCAAATTTGTGATGTCCGCTCTGTGAGCTGTGCGCCCTCGCGTGGTGATCTTGGGCAGTGCTCAACACGCACGATCCTTGGAGGTGTGTTCTGGTGTCCCCCTCCCCCTGCCAGGATGGGGACTCACAAGCCTTCCTTTCGTCCTTCCAGGAGGGCCTTGAACAGGGGTTGGTTGGGAGGGATGGTCTGCAGGATGCTGCCATCTGAGCTCACGTATCCGATGGCCCACTGCCCCAGGCGAGTGCAGCTGGGCCGGAAGATGTAGCTGGAGGAAGAGGCAGGTAGGACGGGGTGAGGGAGGGGTCACCGCTGTGCATTCTGGGGCCTCTCAGCCCCTCGCCCTCTTGAGGATCCAGGTGTGTAAGTCCTCACCCCCTTATAACCCAGCTTAACCCAGGCTTTAGACCCCTGTCTGCCACTATAAAGGATATCTATTGTTTTTATCTGACTGGCTCCTCTTCCTTCTTCACTGGGGTTTAGACAAGGCTGATGCTGGCTTGCATTTCAGGATTCCTGACCACAGTGATGGGAGTCAGCCCTGGGACTTTTGCTGGAAATATCAGGAGCAAGTTATCCCATTTCCACAGAGGTTGCTAAGCTGGTAGAATGTACAGCTAGGGTTTCTAGAAATCATTTGCTACCATGAAGAGAGACCATGTCCGAGAACAAAGCTAACACAGAGAAAAGCAGAGATAGAGGATGCACAGGAACCGATTCCTGACAGTAGCATTGGAGCAGCTGGATCCCGCCATGCCTGAAACCCCTTACCTGGTCTTTTCAATTATAGGAGTTAATTCATCCCTTTTTCTTTCCGTTTAAACCAGTTTGTAGTGTAACTGGAAGCGTGCTAACACACTTGCTGGGGTCCTGCATCTCAGCCCTGCAAAGACTCATGAATCTGACCTTCTATTCCCTTAACCTCTTTGTGTTCCAGGTAGCTCAGCCCCTCAATTCTCAGCCCTCTGGGGAGACCCAACAGCTCAAAAATTCTGGCTTAAAATAAATTAAAGACTCAGGTGTCTCGTTTCCCAGTCTCCTACCCCAGGAGGTATGGGGTCATATTCAAAATATTTAACAGATGGTACAGCATGGGCTCTGACCTATCAGAAATGGACCTTATCCTGGGGCAGGGTCTTCAGGCCCCCTGCCAGACCAGGTATTGTCCCTTTAGCTGCTGGACTGTGGGGGGTCCAGGAGGTCCCAGGAGAAGAGGTGGGACGCAGGGGCACTCAGCATCCTCCCTGAGTTCCTGACTCTCTGGGGTCCCAGGGACCTCAGTCCTTCAGTCTTTACTCTCTGAGGGGTGTCTGGGCTTCCACCCCAGCCCAGGACCCAGACCCCTGAACCCCGGCAGTCTCCCTCTCCTGAGGCCTGGTCCTCTTACCTGCCTGGCTTGTCTCTGCAGGCCTGCAGGCGCGCTCGGACCTCGTCATACGTGAGGAAGGCCATGTAGCCCGGGTGGTTGACAGCCAGGAGCTGCCAGTTCTTGAGGAGTGTCGGCCACGGCTGGGGTGGGGCCGGGCTCAGGTCAAGGAGGGGCCAGGGAGAGCAGCCCATACCCCTCATGCCTCCCCAGGGCCGAGAACCCAGCTACCTGGCTCACACCTATAGTGGGCCTCAGGGGTATCTCCTTTACACAGAAGACTCCAGACCCTTCCTTCCCCAGGACCCAGGAGTCCGGGCCCCCAGTCCCTCCTCCCTCAGACCCAGGGGTCCGGGCCCCAGCCCCTCCTCCCTCAGACCCAGGAGTCCGGGCCCCCAGCCCC